CCCTGTGTTGGATATCACCCCCTTCCCTCTCCCATTCACAGGGAGAACGCCTTTATCTTCCTTATCTCAGTACCTGGTAGGTTCTCCTGCTGGAATTCTCTTATATGAATTACTTTTCTCTCTTTCTCCTACTGTGCCATTAACTCTTTGGTGGAAGTGCCATGTCTTCTGTTTGTTCCTGTGGGCCCTACGTTACACCCAGCAACTAGCAGGTATTCAGTAAATATCTGTTAGAGTGCATTGATGTGAAAAATACTGACTTCGGCAGTTCCCTGACTGACGGTGTTGGTGCTTTGGTCTGTTTTGATAGCTAGGGCACAGTAACTCTGACTTTCGGGTAGACTGACAACCCTTGGACAACACAACGTGTAGAGTTTTAATCTGGATTGCAAAGATTTTGTTCTATTTTGTGTCTCAATGTGGGTCTTTACCGTTACCCATATTCTGTCTAATTCTGTTAGAATTAGCTCTCAATTTTAGTCATTTAAGCTCTTTGTGAAGCTCAGTCTTCAGTATAGTTACTCTCCTTCCCTGATACAGGCCATGTGCAGGCTTGGTTAGCATACACTACGGATTCATTTAAGCCTTTGATAAAAATACTGGACAGACCAGAGATATTATCAGCACGCTGTGACATACCCTGGAGGTGTCCAGCCGAGGAGATACTGATTTAGTATTCACCACTCTCTGTTAGCTCATATCTGTTTTATTCTGTCTTGTATGCCAGGAGATTCTGAGAGAGCCTATTTAATGACATTGCTAAAGATGTAACATGTCTATCACACCCCTCTCCCGAAGTTAATCAGTTAAATCCCTTTTTGTGAACCTGTAGTAACTCTCAGAATTAGAGATTCTTTTTCTAGTGCTCACACATAGGATATATTCAAAAACTTTGTTGCCATCTCATCTTAAGCTCACTTATCTATCATTTGGAGAGTTCAAGCTCCATGTTTTTAGATATTTGGGAAATTCTCATAACTAGATTTTTGGTGATTTCTCAAAGCTTAGATTAAGGTACCAGGTGAGGGGCTTTCACACTGTTACCTTATCTCTACAGTGGTTCCCCATTCACCAACTTATTTTATATTTTTGGATCTAATTGAATTCGTTTACAACACCAAGCACTCACTCCTAATCAATTTCCAGAAATAATCTATATGGATAACATCTGCCCATTTTTAGATATGATACATATAGACACATGGATGAGTCATACCTCCTATTTTATATCATTTTGGAAGGGGAAAGGAGTGTATGTTAAGTATCTCATAAACATGTCATAACATAGTAATAACATCATCTTTAATGATGCTTTTGCTTGTTAAATGGTTGAATAACAAATAAATTGGAAAAATAACAAGTCCTTTGTCTTTTTTTAAGAAACAGTGCTATTATTTGTAATCCAGAGTTATGATCTAAAGTATATCATCGTGGGAATGTGCTCAGTCACTCAGTTGTTTCTGACTCTTTGCGAGCCCATGGACTGTAGCCCCCCAGGCTCCTCTGTCCATGGGATTTCCAGGCAAGAATACTGGAGTGCATTGCCATTTCCTTCTCCAGAGAATAGATAAATACATAAAGGTTTATTAGATGTTTTGCCATCTCTGTGTTGCCATTTTTTATAATTAACACAATGTTTGTACATTGACAGGAAAATTCCTCTTTCTGCCTCTACTTAAACTCACAAGATTTCTAACACCAGATATGTGGGTTTATCCTATACCAAACAGTTCTCTCACACTTGCTGGGTGTCCTGGAATTCAGTCAGTTTGGACACTGTCTGCCTGGAGTTAACATCAGAGCCCCCAGGTAAGGGCTCAGTTCTACAAGAGTGCCCCCTCTTCAGACGGCAATCACAAGTACTGGTCCTCAGGTTACTCACATTTATGCCTGACTTGGTTGCAAGTTGGGTCTTCCCTGGTGACGCAGATGGTAAAGAATCTCTCTGCGATGCAGAAGACCCAGTTTGATCCCTGCCTAAGGAAGATACCCTAGAGATGGGAGTGGCTACCAGCTCCAGTATTTTTGGCCTGGAGAATTCCATGGACAGAGGAACCTGGCAGGCTACAGTCTCTGGGGGTCTCAAAGAGTCAGACACGAATAAGAGACTAACACTTTCACTTTTTGGCTACAAGTTGGGGTTTCCCATGACCTCCCCCTTCAGACCTGAGAAGTTGCTATAATGGCTCACAGAACTCAGGGAAACCAGTCTATTATATAAAGAAGGGTGTGATAAACGGTACAGATCATAGCCAGATGAAGAAATGTATAGGGCAGAGCCTGGAGAGTGCTGAATACAGGAGCTTCTGTCCCTCTGGAGCTGGGTTCTGTCACTCTGCTGGCACGGTGAAGTGTTCACCAACCCACTGGAAGCCTTCCAAACCCCACAGTTCCAGGAATTTTTTTGGAAGTGTCATCATGTAGGCATGATCAATTATTAGCTCAGCCTCCCTCAACTCTCCTCTTCCTGAGGATGGGGGTGGACTAAAAGTTCCAAGCTTCTAATCGCATGTGGTCTTTCTCGTGACCAGCTCCCATCCTGAAGCCACCCAGGAGCCCGCTAAGAATCAGCTTGTTAAGACAAAAGTCACTCCTATCTCCCAGGGAATTCTAAGAGATTTAGGAGCTCTGTGTCAGGAACCAGAGCCAAACACCAAGTATTAAAACAAAAGGTGCTTCCAGTGCTCTTATCACTTAGGAAACTGCAAGGATTCTAGGAGAGTGGTGCCAGGAACTTGGGGGCAGAGACCAACTATTAAAACAAAAGATATTTCTTGCACCTTTATCGCTTAGGAAATTACAAAGGTTTTAGGGTCTCTAACCAGGAGTTGAGGGATGAAGATCAAAATACATATTCTTACTGCATCACAGTATCACATATGTATATATATATATGTATCTTTGAATACTTTTCTGTTTTTTCCTTACAGAAAATTTCTAGAAGTGGAATTTTGGGGCAAAGGGTGTGCAATTTGTAAAGCCTCTTATTATATATATTGACAACCTAGAGACCTATCGCATATGAGATTGCCTATTTTCTCTCACTGAGATGAATGTGAATGAATTTTAAATGAATGGCTTAGCTGGTCTGGAAAACTCAGCCTGGTGAAGTGGAAACAGAATAGAATCAACGTCAGGGGAGTGGGCTGTCAGGGGACCACCCCACCTTCCCCAAGGACGGGGACTCGGGCTCATCCTTCTCACAGCTCCTCCATCCTGTGCTTTCTTTCTTTTTTTACATCTTATTTATTTATGTAATTTTGGCTGTACTGGGTCTTCATTGCTAAGCAGGCTACTCTCTAATTTTGGTGCAGAAGCTTCTCATTGTGGTGGCTTCTCTTGCTGGGAGGCTTGGACTCTAGGGATCACAGGCTTCAGTAAGTGGGCTCAGGAGTTGAGACTCTTGGGCTCCAGAGCACAGGCTCAGCAGTCGCTCTGCAGCATTTGGGATCTTCTCGGATCAGGGATCAAACTCACGTCGCCTGCACTGGCAGCTGGGTTCTTTACCACTGAGCCAGCAGGGAAGGCCCATCCTGTGCTTTCTGATTTCCAGCAGCTCTCTCACCATGTGTATGTAGGTCCTCGTGTCCTGGAATGGCAGGGATGCTGTTCTCCCTTCTTTAGCCGACACACCAGTCCCCTTGTTCATGGCCCTTTCTTCTTTCCCTCTGAAGGAGGTATTTCACACCAGGCTCCTATCTTAAGCACCTTGGGGTGTACGCAGATGCATAGGTCTGCAACACAGCTGTCTTGGATTTTGCATTGGGCCCCTGGAGTTGGCCAGGAATTCATTTTTTTAGGCTTAGTTGGGACCATGATTACTTCTGTGGAAATGAAAATTGAGTTGATTAGTAACTATGACATTTAGATTCGTGTGTCCAAATAAAGCTTGAGATGTTTAAAATTCTGTAAATTAAAGCTGAATCAACTCAAGTATTTAGAATATGCGTATGCCATCGCTAAAGTTGACTTTTAGATTCTCAGCTGTTTTTGGCAAAGCGGAGGTAGCTGTGTAAGAGAAGCAGATCAAGAGTGTGAGGATAAAGATATGGAATTACTGTTTTGGTAACATGGACTGGAGTCTAGATGGCTATAGACAGTACCACTTAGGGTGTGTGTGTTCTCCCAAGAGAACCATTCCCTATGCAGTTGCATTTTTTTCTATAACCCCACAGACTTATTTGAGGACATGATGTCCTATTCTTAACTTAAAGGCTACCTTCAGAAGTCTCTCTGTGAAAGTGTTTAAAATTTTGAACAACAAATTTCTCTTCTGATTGTAGTTCTCTTTTTATTTTGTTTTTGTTGTAGTCCTGGAATTCAGATTCTGAGATTCTATAGGAATTGCTGTTAGAGAACATTTAATACAAATTCTGAAATGCTATGCTCATTCTCACCCTTATATTAATAATTTCAGCTACAGCTGGTAATGGTGGGTAGATACCCTGGAGATGCCTTGTGGGGTGGTAATTAACAATGATTCCTTGTGCATAATCTGGAAATGTGGTTCCTGGTGGCACTGTGGGTGAGAGAACACAGTCATACCTGGTTTATCCCAGCCTTGACCAGAGGTACCAGTTTCTTGGTCTCTTTCTCATCGCTGGTGACCATGGCTCCAAGCTGCAGCACCGAGGACTTGCCTGCTGTGAACACTCAGCTGCTTAGGAAGAGGTGTTAGTGAAACAAGAGTACTGGGAGGTGTTTGCACCAGCCAGGGAGTGAGGGGAAAAAGCAAGTGAGGGAAGAAAAGCATTCCACACCTGTCTGCCTTTTCAGTGAGGCCACCGAGTTTTCTGAAGTAATATCATAATGCATTTACAAAGATTTCTGCAGCTAGAAAATGTTTTAGATAGGAAAAAACTTAGATATATTAAGTAACCCGATAGTGGAATCATTTAAAAGTAATTAAATAACTTTCCTTTTAAAGCGATGGATTCCCTTTGCTTTCCTTGTGCTTGCCTTCTGTTTGTAGCTAATTCGGTTTTTATTTGTTGTCACAGGCTAAACATCTTTTTGACTGGCATGGACCCATTCTACTTCCACGCAGTAAATGTCATTTTACACTGCCTAGTGACCCTTGTGCTGATGTACACCTGTGACAAAACTGTCTTCAAGAATCGTGGACTTGCTTTTGTTACAGCGTTACTTTTTGCCGTGCATCCTGTTCACACAGAGGCGGTGAGTGTCACTGGGACTCAATGAAATAATAAAACAAAAAGTCATCTTTTTCTCCTCTCAAAACCATGTGAATTTAAAGCTCTACTGAAGTGTTTATCTTTATATATAAATCATTCTGCTTGACAACTTTTCTTTTTAAATGTTCTAATGGCCTTTATTGCACCTCCAGGACTTAACTGCTTTTCTAAATAGCCACTGTCATTATTACAGGTAGTCATAAATGACCATAGTTCTTTATTTGTGGAAAATTTAAGTCCTAATGTGTTTTAAAGAGCAAGGGGCATTTTGAGATACTTAGCATGCTGAGTTATTGTTCCTGCTCTATGATTTTTTAACCTATTCTTGCTCTGCTTAATATTTATAACATTCATGATACAGCACTCTTAAGTGCTAGAGTTGTTTAGTCACTAAACTCTTGGCGACCCCATGGACTGTAGCCCACCAGACTCCTTGTCCATGGAATTTCCCAGGCAAGAATACTGGAGTGGGTTGCCATTTCCTTCTCCAGGAGGCTTTCATGACCCAGAGATAGAACCCATGTCTCCTGCTTGGCAGGTGGATTCTTTACCACTGAGCCACATAGGAAGCCCAGGAGCTGGGGGAAGACCATAAAAAGTTGAACTGACATTCTTCAAATTAAACACACTTTCGAGACTTACCAATAGTTTTCCAAGTTATTTAGTATGAGCTAAGTTATTTGGAGGATGATGAGAAATGTGTTTAGAAAGTATCTAAAGATCTAAAGATCTGGAGTCTTACTTAAAATATAGGCTTAATTATGCACCAAGATGGTGTCATCTAGCCTGGCTTCACATCTCAGTAGCCACAGCTGGTTTAGTTTATGTATTGCTCAGGGTGGGTAAAGACTTTCCAAGAAATACATGGGTACCACAGTTTTATAAGAATTGTCTCAAGAGTCACAGATTGCATCCGGACATTTTCCTACAGTTCACATCCTACAGTTTACATCCAGGTCTGAGAACCTGGGGGAAAAGTGTCAAGTTGATTCTCCTCTCCCTCTTCCCCTTTCAGTGCCTTTTTCTTCTATTAAAAAAATAAGGAATGTCTTGCATACATCAGAATCTTACCATGCCCAGGGGTACAAATGGCACCATACAGTGAGCCAGTTTGATATTTTGGTGTCAGCCAAGTCTCCTCTAATTAAGGCATAAACCCAAAGTAGGTTTATGTCCTTTTCTGTCTATACATGTTTCTGTGAAGAAGGCAGCATGGTATTAGAAGTAAGGTATGGTGGCTTGCAAGATTCTTGTCATGGGGGTGCATAATACTTTCATTTGATCTGAAGCAAGATGTCTGATTTGGCCAATTGGTTTGATAATGAGGGCTGGTAAGGCCATGTGATGGACATTTGCCACAAACAAAATTCTAAATCTGTAAGCCCCAGGTTTTGACACAAGTATATTTAGAGTGATAAGGGAGAAAATTATTTTATAAACAATTACTTTGTTAAGTGTAATTTTCCCAGTTCTTCCTGAGTATTTTGAACTGAACAAGGTGCCTGTAGGTGGAGAGCTGTAAAGTATAAGTAATAATCCTTTTCAAAGTCTCAGTCAAGGCTTTTTTCCTTAGTTTTGAGAAACTGTGAAAGCAAATGAATCTAATGACAGGTAACTCTAATGATTGGTACACTTCATGTATTTACTTTCAACAAGGTTAAAGGAGAACCTGGTAGAGTTGTCAGCTCATAGATCATTAAACATTATGCAAAATGATAGATTGCTATGATTTTGCAGAGAACTTGGGTGTTCAAAGAATTGTCACTGCTTTAACATAGTTACTTCTGTCCTCATTTATGTGAATTGTGTTTAAATACAAAAGCTGCAAATAGAATTTGATGCCGCATACTTCCTTTTTCTAACAAAAAGTAATATTCAGTCATAGATAACTGAATTTATTAAAAAAACCTACACCTATATATTGAGGACTATTCTTTATTCAATAATTTTTATCATTTTTTCTAACTTACAATATATTTAGCAATTGAAAATAATACTAATTGGAATAATAATACAAAATTGAAAATTCAACAGTTTTGAAAATTCAGAAAATTTAGGTGCTTTTGATCACAGGAACTTTAAAAATTAATCTAATTATATATACATTTTTATTATATAGTGAGATGATAAATAGAATATTTTAAAATGTAATTACAAAGCATATTAAGAAAAAATTGCTGAGGGGGAAATAAAATGGAAACATGATTTCAAGGGGAAAGGGCACATGAAATGTCTGTCATTTAAAGAAGAGCCTGTTCATATTTGTGTAAATGTAAGATGGTGAGCTTCAAACTGCTGTGGTATGTTTCAGGTTCATTTGGTACATTAAAAACAGTAACTTTATGGCCTATTTTAAAATATCAATTTCTAAAATGCACAGGAAGTTAAATCCTTTGAAGTATTTAAAGTTATGATGAAAAATTTTAGATATAAATTTTAAAAGATAAAAATGATGCATAAATTTTCAATATTATTGTTAAATGAAGAGAAATAATCAAGCACCACCTACTCCTAGCCATATAGAACATATGACACTGGGTCAAGGGCAATGTTTTAATCTAAGCCCATTGACTTCATTATGTTTCTGACAGTTTTTTAGATAGATTTGAAAATTCATGCTTAGAGGGTCTTGGGAAAATTTGTGTAGGAAAGAACAAATGAGTAGAATAAGACCAGCCCTAATTCTGTGCTTGCAGAAAAGGAGAGCATAAAATTCAGTGTGATCATGAGCTGATAGAGTTAGGTTGAAATTTAAGAAAAAGGGAAAATTCTGTTAGCAAAATGACCTTTAAGAAAGAGTTTCAACCAACTTTCATACTAATCTGAAAAAAAGAAAAAAATCCATGGTAACACAATTATGGGGACAAAGCAGCCTGAGAGATGGACATTTATTTAGGGAAAAATATTAAACTATTTGCATTTACAAGGAGATGGGGGAGGCATAAGAAAGTAAAGAATATTTGACCTACATAATACACTATACTGGAAAGTAAAATCTAGAGACCATTATTTAATTATAGATATTAGTTTAGGTTTCTAAAAAGGAGGACAGAGGAATAGTAAAAAAGAAATGTGCATTATGAAAACAGTGATAAATGGTTAAAAAAAAGAAAAACAGACCATAGTGTGGTGAAAGAGGGATTTAGTAGAATATATCCCCCCTCTGTTAAACAAGAACAAAAATGGGACCATCAGTTATGACAGGAAGGATAAAGGGTTTGAATTGGAGGGGAGGAAGCTTTAGTTTAAGCATGTTGATATGATTAACAATTTGCTTTCTTAATTATATAGTCAACAAATTGTTAATGAGTCCTTGCTTGGTACAGGCCCTTTGCCAGGTGCCAAGGGGATATGTGAGTGGGCAGTGGGATTCCCTACCCACAGTTTGTTCATAAACCTCTAGAAAGCCAAAGAGCATACACATAAAAACATAGAAGACAAAGCAATATGTTGTGGTAAAACTAGAATTCCAGTGAAGGGAAAAATTATTTCCAACTTAAGTAGAGATGAACAAATTCATTTATTAATTTTTAAATAAATATTTGAGTGACCAGAATATAGTCAATCAATGCAGGACTATACAGTGAATAAGGTAGACTTTCCTCATTGAAAATCTTGTGATTCTTGGGTTTCCTGACAGTATATTTCTTGGTAAATTTATGGGTTTTTCTTAATTCTGAATCATGAGAAAAATCAGTGGAGAAATTAGGAAGATGGGGGAAATCATTGAAATTCTCCTATGAGAATTAAAACTTAACAGTCATCACAAGACATTACTGTTTGAAGGAATGCTTATATGTCAAGTCAAAAACAAGAACAGGAAATGCTTACACATGGAGCTGAAAGTTAGGATGAGCATTTCCAAGGCTGGAACAGAGTACTCAGGGAAAAAAATTGGTCGTGATCTAATCAGCCCGTCTAGCTTTCAGCTGTGGCCCTGTGTTAAGTGTGTGTTCCTGCTCAGTCTGATACCAGGAGAACTCATTTTGCAGATAACATAATTAATAACTTTATACATATATTATACTTCATACAAATCCTATGAGTGATAGTCCAAGAAGTAACAAGTTCTAGGGGCAAATGAAGTCCTTAATTGGCAGCTCCCCCTTGTGATTCTGTAAAGCTTGCTAGGAGATCTGAACATTACATTATTTGAATTCAACTCAATTAGGTTCACTAATGTTTTTCAAATGTTTAAATATTTCTTAAAGGAATACATTTCCCAGGTTACAACTTCCCGATTGGTGATGGAAACCTGCAGTTTGAGGGCAGAAATAATTGCTGTCCGTCCCTGTATTGATATCGTTGACCAGTCTTTCTGTACTTCCCAGCACCCTGTGGTTCAGCCTACATTGTTGTGGAATCAAGCCCAAGGGGCTCCAACTTAACATTTCATCTTTGCTTTGTATTGCCCACTGCTGCCCCCCTTTCACTAATCTATGCTGTCATCACTGTCTTGGCTCAGTGGGTAAAAATCCTCCTGCTATGCAGGAGATGTGGATTCGATCCATGGGTCGGGAAGATGCCCTGGAGAAGGAAATGGCAATCCACTCCAGTATTCTTGCCTGGAAAATCCCATGGACAGAGGAGCCTAGCAGGCTACAGTCCATTGGGTCACAAAGAGTCAGACATGACTGAGCGACTAAACACACACACACACACACACACACACACACACACACACACACACTCTCATCACTTTATGCCTTCCCTGCCAGAAACACCTACACGCTTACAGACCTCTCTTTCCTCTCCCTGGAATGCTACATTCCCTTTCTGGCCCAGAATTCACATCTCCCTGTCTCAAGTTTCCTGAAGTCCTCCGTGCCTGACCTGTAAGTCCTGGTGAATACAGCCAGCCTTTCCATGAAGCCTTCTCGGATCCTGCAGTCCAAATTAATCCCTTCAGTCTTCTCATGGCTGTGATTTCTCCCCTTTACAATGCATGCAGTTTCCTTGTAACCTCTTAATACCCTTTTTTGACTCCCCACCAGATACTAACTGCTTGGGACAGGCTTTATCCCTCCAGCTGGCGTAATACCTGGCAAAGAGGAGGCGTTTGGAAAATGTTTGTTGAAGGGAGTGATACATGCAATTACTGAACAAGATGACATTGACAAATTGACTTGCAGCGTTTGGCTGGTCTGGACATATACTAGCTGATGAGAGTCACTTTGTTTTTAAGACACTAGCCTTCTTGCCCCCAGAGACCCCAGCTTAACAGGGATGTAGAATAGGGGTTCAGTGACCACATGGGGGTTTGGAGCTGGCAACAGAGTCTCGATGTTAGCACCAACTTTTCAACACCCCTTCTGAGCTTCTGCTCCAAGGGACACTGCATTCTTTATATCTGGGCACGTCCAGCTGGCACATGCTGCTGTTGCTGCTGTCTCCCAGCAGAGCTGACTGACTATAGTTCGAGAAGCAGGGCTCCAAGCGCCTTCACAGTGTCAGTTTCACTCGCCCAGCTTGTGATTGCCTCGTTCCAGCTTGGTACCCCCACTACCAACTTGTGAGTCTCTCTGTGTCTGAGTTGGCCACAATCCGTTGTGCTGTGATGGCTGTCCCTCTGGGCCCAGATGCCTGGCCTCATCCCAGGACTTTGTTGCTGGGGAGCTGGGCTCTCTATTGAACCTTCCAGAGGTCTTTCAGGTGATGTTGAGCTCAGGGCTCTAGGAGGCAGTGGTGTAGAATGAGCAGAACTAGGCTTCAGAAGTGAATTGTATGCAGTTGTAGCTTTACAGACTGCGAGGCTGAGCCGGGCCTTGACACTGAGGTGAAACCACACTGTCACTGCCTACTTCCCTCACGCATTCTTCCTGACGTGTCACTCAAGTTCCTTATAGATTAAGGGATCAATGAACAGCCTGAACAGCCACTTTAGGTAAGAACTTTCAGTTCTGTACTGACAGTGAAATTCTTTGGCCATGTCCAGATTTCTCTTGATGTGGATTAGACTAGAATTTTTCTCAATTATGTGACTCGCTATCCATCCAGCTGCAGGTATTTAATTGAATTATTTTTTATTTAGATTTTAACTAATAGATATATTGGATTATCTAGTAAGGTTAACATAAAATATCACACAGGTAAACCTTAATGTAAAAAGATGATTTCTGTACGTCACACAGGAAAACCTCAGTGATAAGAGTCTCCCTCCCTTGCTCTGCAGAGAAAAGGAAGACAGAAGGGCATCAACACCGAGTGGGCACTTTATGTATTGGGCTGGCCAAAAAGTTCATTTGGAAAAACCCAAAGAACTTTTTGGCCAACCCAATATATCATTTTACTTATTACAGCAGTAACATGAGGTAGGGGGTGTAATACTTATTTTAAAAATAACAAAACCAAATCTCAGAACTTAAAGATGACAAAGTTGAGTCTCACTCACATGGCAAGAGGAGTCTATATTCAAGCCTTGGGTGGTCTAGCTCCATGGGTGTGTCATCACCTCTCCTTCATGACTGCAAAGTTTGCTCATTATTTGAGGATATTTATAGGTATATTTCCCAGAAATTTATTTTCTGCTATGAACTGTTGATTGACTCTTCAACAAACCATGGGCTTCAGGTCCTCTGTGATTTGGGTGAAGCTGTTTTCTGTGCCTGAATGTCAAATCTGTTCATTTCTCTCACAAACTCTTCCTCCCCATGTGAGCTTTTCTTTGAAACTTTCTTTGAACAATACCCCAGTTTTTCCTTCATAATTTTATTTCTTGGATTTAAAAAAATTAAGAAAAATGTACACATGTTTTAGATAGTAGAATAATACAAAGATATATAAATAGGCATTTATCCCCCCACCCGTCTTCCATTTCAGTCCCTTTCTGAAGTAACACATTAAAAACAAAATTTCAAACTTAAGAAGTGTAATGACCATATTACTCTTTATCCAGAGTCACCGATTTTTAACCTTTTGCAGCATTTGTTTTATCATCCTTGCTCTCTTTCTCCTTCAATATATAGAAATATTTTTTGTCTGAAACATTTGACAGTAGGTTGCGTAATTCATGCTACTTTATACCTTAATAATTTAGTTGTGATGTGTATTTTCTAAAACCATGGTCATTAGTCACTGTTTCTTTTTAGCCTTTTTCAATCTTAAGTTTGTAACAGTTACCAGTCTTCATTGTCTTTCTATTATATTATTTATATCTTTAGATGTAATTAAAATGATATATTATGATATATGTAATGTTATTATAGTTATTAATGTGATATTTGTTATAATAATGTATACTGTGTTGCATAATTATAATATAAATATATAATCAAGTTTATAGTATATAATTTATAACATGATTTACATGTATGGCATATTATATTAAAATTTTATAATATAAATAAAATAATGAAATATATGTAGGTACAAAAATGTAAGAACATCTGAATATAAAATAGGAATTTATAATGTATATAGTATATTTTTAAGTATAATATATGTATGATATTGAAAATATGTTATATGCAATAATATATTATGATAGATTATGAGTTGTATTATAGTCAAGAAAGGTTAAAAATAAAGTTAAGCATGAAAATCTTGCCCCTTTCTTCCTCTCTATCTCCTTCTCTAAAGTTATTGTTAAATGTTTAGGATAACCAGAAGTGATTAGTCATATATCAGAAATTGAAGAATAATGTATTTTCTAATTTATTGTTTCTTTCATTCCTCTAAAAACAAATACATTTCTGTTATGGGTCTCTGAGAAAGTGGTTTTCTAAGGTTTTTATTTTTTCAAAATTTGTAGGTAGCTGGAATTGTTGGCAGAGCTGATGTGTTGGCGTGCCTGCTGTTTCTTTTGGCCTTTCTCTCCTATAATAGGTATGTATGGCTAAGAACGCACTTGTCTGTGTTTACAGGCATGCTCTTGCCTGGGAGTTTCTGCTGTGTGTGTGTGTTTGTGTGTAGATTCTGAGCTCCTTCCTGAGAGAGGAGGGAAGCTTCTTGGCTGTGAGATAACTGTGAGCTTCCTGGAGACCTGGCATAGGAAACTGTCTCTTAACCAAAGACTAGGCTGTTCTGTTTTCCAGCCATATTCTGAACTATGTCATAGCCTCTTAGAAGGACTGCTCTCCCAATGCTGGGAAGATAAGCTCTAGCTTCTTGATTCCTCTTACTGAGAATGGAATTTGAAATCAGCTCTGAGCCAAATTATACTGGCTATAGTCCTCTCCTCTATTTAACTATGATTTGTTTAATTTGTCCTTTTCATTTTGGTCTTAGTCTTTTGCCCCCTCTTTACTATATTCATTAAAGGAGCTTAAAGCTTAAAATGACAAGGCTGAATTGAAAGTACTATTCTCAACTGTGATTTTCTAATTCGCACATCCTTTCATCAAAATACAGAAGCTTCTTGCTTTGTGAGACTGAAAAGCAATAAAACAATCTCCCATTATATTGCCTCTTTCCCTGCAAGATGATCAGATTCTCACCTGAGTTGTGACATAGCCATATAGGCAAAGGGGTGGGTTAAAAATGGGGTGTAATACACAATGGAATATTACTCAGCCATAAAAAGGAATGCATTTGAGTCAGTTCTGATGAGGTGGATGAACCTAAAACCTATTATACAGAGTGAAGTGAGTCAGAAAGAGAAAGAGAAATATCATCTTCTAACACATGTATACAGAATCTGGAAAAATGGTACTGAAGAATTTATTTACAGGGCAACAATGGAGAAACAAACATAGAGAATAGACTTATGAACATGGGAAGAAGGGAGGAAAGGGTGAGATGAATGGAAAGAGTAACATGGAAACTACGTTACCATATGTAAAATAGACAGCCAATGGGACTTTGCTGTCTGGCTCAGAAAGCTCAAACAGGGGCTCTGTATCAACCTCTAGGGGTGGGCTTGGAAGGGAGATAGGAGGGAGGTTCAAAAGGGAGGGGATATATGTGTACCTATGGCTGATTCATGTTGAGGTTTGACAGAAAACAGCAAAATGCAGTAAAGCAATTATCCTTAAATTAAAAATAAATAAATTAAGAAAAAATCTTAAAAAAAAAAAGAATGTAATAGGGGCAGTGACTCAGTGGCTGGCCCAGATAAAGGGGGACAGTGAACCATTTTCCTGCTTCATGGAGTGATGCCTGGTTAAGGATTTATAAACCTTCATCTTTGGGTCAGTTCATTGGCTTATAGTTTTACAAAACACAGTGACTGCGAGGAGCACTGTTCTAAACCAGTGGTTCTCCATATGGGACAAATTTGTCCATGTTGTCCTCAGGGATATTTGCAATGTCTGGAGATATTTTTGCTCACCTGGCATGTGAGTGGAGGCCAAGGATTCTGAAGCCTGCAGGACAGCACTTGTAACAAAGCATCATCTTCCCTGAGCTGTGCTGAGAATCCTTGTAAACCAGCTTAGACTTTGGATCAAGGATGAACTGAATTAAACCTTACAAAGTTTTGGTTTAAGAGCAGAACCTTTTCTTAATGTAAGACCAAGCTTCTAGTCCTGACTCTGTAGCCTCCCACTTCATTGTATGAGTATGTGCTTGGTCGCTCAGTTGTGTCCTATTCTTTGTGACCTCATGGACTGTAGCCCACCAGGCTCCTCTGTCCATGGGATTCTCCAGGCAAGAATACTGGAGTGGGTTGCCATTTCCTTCTCCAGGGGATCTTCCTGATCCAAGGATCGAACCCATGTCTCTTGGGTCTCCAGCATTGCCAGGAGGATTCTTTACCACTGTGCCACCTGGCAAGTCCCTCATGGCATTGTTAGTTATATATGAGTGTTGTGAAAATATTAGAAATGTAAACCCAAATTCAACAATTGTTTCCTGTTTGCTCCTGTATTAGAACAAGATTAACCATCACTTTTGAGTGTGAACTTGATCTCTCAGGCCTTTTCTCTGTGTTGATAAACTTGGGAATGTGAGTGGGCCTGCAGCCTATCCGTACCTGTGTGCTAATAAGCCACATTGCTACGGCTTTCTGTTGTGCAGGTCACTCGCACTTTGAGTAATTTAAGCTGTCAACCAGCTTCGGAGAAAAAGCCTGTCTCCTACAAATTTGGAATATAATTTAGGCAATTGTTCCAAGACATAACAATAAGGGGGAGACGTCACAACTGCAGATGTATTGACCTACCGAGGAGAGGGAACAAATTGGTGTGTCACCCGCAGAAGGAGCTGTGAGGTTTCATGCTGGGGAGCCGATTCTTTTTTGTAAGGTTAAAAAAAACTTTACAGCAACTGGAGGGTTTTAGAAAATCCCTGCTGGAAATTATGCTGAGAAAAAAAAATGTTTTCCCTAAATATTCTCACATAAAATACACTTAAAACTACAGATTAGAAACTGATACAACATTGTAAGTCAGCTATACTTCAATTAAAAAAAAAAGAGAGATCAGCCAGAATAAAAGAAAAATACTAAGGCATCTATATTTTCATCACATTAATGATGATTGTATTTTGGTATCTATCCAGTGTTTTCTTTGTACAGAAACATATAAAACACCTTCACAATAATAATAATGATGATGATAAACAGGATGAGGTACAGGGAGGCATTGACCTGCCCCCTGTTACCTTGTTAGTTAGCAGATCTGTGATCTGAACCCAGGAAACCTGGCACCAGAGTTCATGCATGTGGCTTATACTATTCACTTTATATATATTCACCTAAACATCTTTCCATGTCACTAAGTATATCTCTATATACTAGCATTTTAAATTGCTTTTTAGTGTTCCTCTGTTATATGCCATATTTTACCATAACTTATATGCTTTTATTTAAGTACCAAATTCAGCATTATCAGTTATTTACTTTTTCCCATCTTTGCAAATTTTATTCTTAAAGATATCTTTGCTCATCTACTTAGAATAAAATGAAATCTTATTGGCTTTTCCCATCTTTGCAAATTTTATTCTTAAAGATATCTTTGCTCATCTACTTAGAATAAAATGAAATCTTATTGGCTCTTACCTTTAAAAGGTGGCATTTCTTAGCAACCCAAATTTCTTCTTGGAGTAAAACCATCTCAACTTTATTTTTCAGGAGTGTGGACCAGTGTTGTGTTGGGGAAAGTTTCCCTCCCACGGCTTCTCCCTTCTTCCTGCTGCTCAGTCTGTTCCTGGGGACCTGCGCAATGCTGGTCAAAGAGACGGGCATCACGGTGTTCGGCGTCTGCTTGGTTTATGATCTCTTTTCTTTATCCCACAATCATGATAAATCGTAAGTCATGTCAAAGTTTTGCTGTCAAGCAGTGCATGATGTGCAGAGAAAAATTACTTCAATCAATAGTTTGAAAATTTTCATTCAAAAAATAGAGATACAACATTCTGTTAAATGTAACCTCATCTTGGGGGCTTTCCTGGTGGCTCATAGTAAAGACTCCATCTGCCAACACTGGAGACACAAGAGATACAGGTTTGATCCCTGGGTTGAGAAGATCCCCTGGACAAGGAAATGGCAAGCCACTCCAGTATTCTTGCCTGGGAGATCCCAAGTAGAGAGAAGCCTGGTGGATTGCAGTCCATGGTGTCACAAGAGTCAGACAGGACAGAGCCACTAAACAAAAACAAACCTCACCTTAGACCATAATATAGTAAGGCTTAAGATAGATGCATTGTATGTGTTCACACTCTTCACACTTGTGTAAATGAGGATTATAAAGTTTTTGTGAGCACCAAATTTGGAATTGAAAAGTACCTATGCTAATTGCAAGTTTATATCACTAGATTGTTTTGGTTGTATAATACTGAGAAATCTTGATTCACACAGGAGAGTGGTTACAAATGGTAACAGTTTGTTAACAGCTTGCCTGGAATCTCTGCATTCACAAAAGTGCTATCCTTCAGAGAACACCGCTAAATTGGAGTCTGTTTACTAGTTTGAGGGGTGGTGTATTTACCTAAGTTTTGAATGGGGCAGGGTGGTGGTGGTGGGGGGGTGTTTTTGGAATTCCACAATAGACCAGTCTAAACCATACAGGAATAATTAATTGCATATCATATTCAAGTTAAAGAACAAGTTTATTTAGTAGCCTGTTTTCATTTAAAAAATGTAGGCACTTCCATATTGTCCTGTGGGTTATAGATGATAAGAATGACTAAGGCGTTTTAAAAGTTCAAGCACATACTGTAATTTTCTTCCTCAGGATTACTAACAATGTGATGTGCAAACCCCATTTTTCAGTAATTATAAGGTCCTTACATTTGAACTTTTAATAAATGTAGCTGATTTATTCTCCGGCCTTGTCCGGAAGAATTTTATCTTAAAAAAAAAAAAAAATCCTGCCTTTTTATCCCACTCCCTACCTCTTTATACTTGACACAAAGATAAGAGCAGTGCTATTGCATGTCAACAAGCTGAGATGAGTCATTAAATTCCTGCCTGGGCATACTTGGAGATAATTTAAATAGATTTTAGTACTCTGCTAGCTCTCTGTGAATCTCAGAGGCGTGTAAAAGGAAGGAGCCTAGTTATCATTTTGACCCAAGCTTAAACCAAGAAAGCTGTGAGCCAGAGGACCTCCCCGTGGCTTACATGAGCGTGCCTCTCCTCGCTATCCTTTTAACCAATCGCAGTAATTGCATTGCTGACCTTCCCATCAGCTCCTCTGGCTTTCCACTTGCTTCTGCCTCCTCTGTGTGTGTGCCGCCTTTGCTCTGTGACAAGTGACTGCAGACCTTCCCCTCTGGTCCCATCCAGAGATATTTTAACCTCATATCGACTGAAAAAAAAAACACCCACAGAACTTGAAAGTTGAGAATTACGTTTTATTTGAGACCATTACTAAGGATTTATAACCTGAGAAAGCCCCTTAGATAGCTCTAAGGGAACTGTTCCATAGAGGTGAGGGAGGAACTAGGATGTATGAGTTTTTGCTGCTGGGGGGAAGAAAAAACCTATAGTTGAAACTCAAAGGAGTGCTAATCACAAAAAATCAGACATCTCAAGTTAGTGATGTAGTGCTTTTCAATATATTAAAAGATGCAAGAGTCTGGGTTCATTAAAATTTTTCCTTTGATATGCATCTCAGCTGTCTAGGGTCAGTATCCTGTTTTTCTCCATTCTGAATTCCCTCAGTATGCACCCTGGGGCCAGCTGCAGTGGCTGATAGCTTGATGGCAGGAAGCATTCTTTTGTCTACATTCAACTTGAAGTCTTATCTCCTTTGGTCTTAGGACTCCCCAACACATGGTTGCTTATAGTCCTTTCTTCTTCATCTGGTCACTATTGAGCTAGGCTTTTTTCAAAGAGGATAATTATCTCTTTTAGTCCTTTAGTAATTTTCTTGACCTTCATCATACCAGACTGCTGGAAGTTTTATGAAAAAATAATAATTGCTGATATGTAGCTTGGAAGTTGCATAGTTCATAGTCTATGGATTTTTTTGTTTGTTTTAGTAACTTTTAGCTCTCACAACCACCAGCATCTCTGCATAGGTGGAGGCGTTCTTTCTTTCCTGCATCGTCTTCTCCACCTGTTCAATGCATTCCCATTTTGTGCCTGGCCACAAATAAGACAGATAAGATTCCTTCCCACAAAGGGCAGTGCTGGGGAAGACAGACATTACGTGAGTAATTACATGAGTACCTGAGTGCAACTGTGAACTTGGTAGGAAGGGACTGAGAACAGGTAACAGCGACTCAGTTCAGTTCCGTTCAGTCGCTCAGTCGTGTTCGACTCTTTGCAACCCCGTGAATCTCAGCACGCCAGGCCTCCCAGTCCATCACCAACTTCCGGAGTCCACCCAAAACCATATCCATTGAGTCAGTAATACCATCCAGTTGTCTCATCCTCTGTCATCCCCGTCTCTCCCTGCCCTCAATCTTTCCCAGCATCAGGGTCTTTTCAGATGAGTCAGCTCTTCACATTGGAATTGGAGTTTCAGCTTTAATATCAGTCCTTCCAATGAACACCCAGGACCCATCTCCGTTAGGATGGACTGGTTGGATCTCCTTGCAGTCCAAGGGACTCTCAAGAGTCTTCTCCAGCACCATAGTTCACCAGCATCAATTCTTCGGCGCTCAGCTTGTTTTATGGTCCAACTCTGACATCCATACATGACCACAGGAAAAACCATAGCCTTGGCTAGACGGAACTTTGCTGACAAAGTAATGTCTCTGTTTTTTAATATGCTATCTAGTTTGGTCATAACTTTCCTTCCAAGAAGTAACCATCTTTTAATTTCATGGCTGCAATCACCATCTGCAGTGATTTTGGAGCCCCCAAAAGAAAGTCAGCCACTGTTTCCCCATCTATTTGCCATGAAGTGATGGGACCGGATGCCATGATCTTAGTTTTCTGAATGTTGAGCTTTAAGCCAACCTTTTCACTCTCCTCTTTCACTTTCATCAAAAGGATCTTTAGTTCTTCACTATCTGCCATAAAGGTGGTGTCATCTGCATATCTGAGGGTATTGATATTTCTCCCGGCAATCTTGATTCCAGCTTGTGCTTCCTCCAGCCCAGTGTTTCTCATGATGTACTCTGCATATAAGTTAAGTAAGCAGGGTGACAATATGCAGACTTGATGTACTCCTTTTCCTATTTGGAACCATGCTGTTGTTCCATGTCCAGTTCTAACTGTTGCTTCCTGACCTGCATACAGGTTTCTCAAGAGGCAGGTCAGGTGGTCTGGTATTCCCATCTCTTTCAGAATTTTCCACAGTTTATTGTGATACACATAGTCAAAAGCTTTGGCATAGTCAATAAAGCAGAAATAGATGTTTTTCTGAAACTCTCTTGCTTTTTCGATGATCCAGTGGATGTTGGCAATTTGATCTCTGGTTCCTCTGCCTTTTCTAAAACCAGTTTGAACATCTGGAAGTTCACAGTTCACGTATTGCTGAAGCCTGGCTTGGAGAATTTTGAGCATTACTTTACTAGCATGTGAGATGAGTGCAATTGTGCGGTAGTCTGAGCATTCTTTGGCATTGCCTTTCTTTGGGATTGGAATGAAAACTGACCTTTTCCAGTCCTGTGGCAACTGCTGAGTTATCCAAATTTGCTGGCATATTGAGTGCAGCACTTTCACAGCATCACCTTTCAGGATTTGAAATAGCTCAACTGGAATTCCATCACCTCCACTAGCTTTGTTCATAGTGATGCTTCCTAAGGCCTTCTTGACTTCACATTTCAGGATGTCTGGCTCTAGGTGAGTGATCATACCATTATGATTATCTGGGTCATGAAGATCTTTTTTGTATAGTTCTTCTGTGTATTCTTGCCACCTCTTCTTAATGTCTTCTGCTTCTGTTAGGTCCATACCATTTCTGTCCTTTATTGAGCCCATCTTTGCATGAAATGTTGCCTTGGTATCTCTGATTTTCTTGAAGAGATCTCTGGTCTTTCCCATTCTGTTGTTTTCCTCTATTTCTTTGCATTGATCACTGAGAAAGACTTTCTTGTCTCTCCTTGCTATTCTTTGGAATTGCATTCAGATGCTTATGTCTTTCCTTTTCTCCTTTGCTTTTCACTTCTCTTCTTTTCACAGGTATTTGTAAGGCCTCCTCAGACAGCCATTTTACATTTTTGCATTTCTTTTTCTTGGGGATGGTCTTGATTCCTATCTCCTGTACAATGTCAGGAACCTCCATCCATAGTTCATCAGGCACTCTGTCTATCAGATCTAGTCCCTTAAATCTATTTCTCACTTTCACTTTATAATCATAAGGGATTTGATTTAGGTCATACCTGAATGGTCTAGTGGTTTTCCCCCACTTTCTTCAATTTAAGTCTGAATTTGGCAATTAGGGGTTCATGATCTGAGCCACACTCAGCTCCCAGTCTTGTTTTTTGCTGACTGTATAGAGCTTTGGCACCGTTGACTGCAAAGAATATAATCAATTTGATTTTGGTGTTGGCCAGCTGGTGATGTCCATGTGTAGAGTCTTCTCTTGGGGATACCTGATTGATAAGGGTATCTCTTGAGTGAAGGCTATGCTCCAGGAATGGGACCATGCCATTTACAGGTATGAAGTCACTTACTGCTGACAGCTGTTACCCTTGTTTCACAGAGCAGAAAGTACAGACATAGAAAGTAACCTCTCCAGGGTCACCCATCCCTGATTTGGATTCTGTCTGTGTAACTCCAGAGTCACAGGGTTACCCCTGAGCACCTGCCTCCTTGGGGCACATGTGACTGGGGCCAGTAACCTCCCAGGGCATCTGCAGCTCAGAGCCTGGGCTCACATTAGTAACAGGAGATGATCTCAGAGGTTCTGCCTATATTGGAGGGTCTTGACTCATTGAGAATCTCACATAATTGTGTCTCTTTTTCCCACAAATTCTTATCTGCTAGTTTAGAATAAGGGCTTCCTGGGTGGTGCAGTGGTAAAGAACCCATCTGCCAATGCAGGAGACATAAAAGATGTGGGTTCAATACCTGGGTCGGAAAGATCCCCTGGAGGAAGACGCGGCAACCCACTCTGGTATTCTTGCCTGGAGAATCCCATGGACAGAGGAGCCTGGCGGGCTACAATCCATAGGGTCACAAAGAGTCGGACAGGACTGAAGTGACTTAGCATGCACGCATCTATCCTTTTGGATTCTGAATTTAGGTTGTTTTCACTTTTTTGGTTATTATATACCATGCTTGAGTTAGGTTTTGTGTGCACATACCTGCCGGTTTTCCAGGGCATAACCACAGAAGTGAGGTTGTGGGCCCACAGATAGATACATAGTCACTGTGTTGATGTGGAGCTATTCTCTTGAAATAACTGCAGCAGTGGATGAGAATCCTCTTGTTCCACATTCTCCCCATTCCTGAGTAGTGTCAGACTTTTAAATTTTTGCCCAGCTAATGTTATGGAATATATCTCAGAGGATTCATGGAAGAACATGTGAGAATAAGTTTCATGGATCATCTGTAAACACAATTTTACAAGATCATAATAATGTAAATCCCAAATATCCCTTCAGCTAGGTTATGAGAATTCAACTTATATATATTATGAGAGAAATGTATGAGGAGGATGAGAAGTGAAGAGTGTCTGTATGTGTATTGGTGACCACATGAAAGGATTGAATCTTCATCTTCTCTTGTAATGAGCCAATGTGACAAGTTCTAAAATTGGAAATAACATTATTTAGTGTTATTTTAAAAATATCATGATAAATATCAGAAACAGAAGAGCTCAAAGACTTGGGAATAGTTGTTTCCAAGGAACAGGGCTTGGGGAGGGGATGGGGACCGCTGTACCTTGTTGCAGGTCTTGTAGCTCCTTTTGACGTTGTTTCCTCCTCACAATTAGGAGCAACGGGGTCATCCATCAGCGCAACCCACAGCAGCCTGGAAGCTCCCCGACGGCACACCCTTTCCGGGAGAATGGGAAGCAGCAGCGGTTCCCTCACAAAGGAGCTTGGGGTGGCTGCCATGCCATGCCATCTGAACCCAAGAGCAGTGGATTCCCCGTGTCTCCTGGAGCTGTGCGGTCCTTGATGAGGTACTGGACTGGGCTCCTTGGCCTTGTGTGATTTCACCATCCAGCATCACCTGTTGCAGGGGGATCACTGCAGAAGTGAAGCGCCGAGTCAGTTCTTTGCGACACCCCCACTCTTGTTAGCCTCCTTTCTTTTCCCCTCCCCATTTCCCTTCCTCTTTCTTCCTTCCTTCTCTTCCCTATCCCGGGCCTTCCCTGTGTCATATCAGATAAGAAAGGAGTAGCTGGAAGAAGTAGAAGCCCTGCTGGCTGCTGTTATTTGGAAGGAGAGATGAGGCTGTGAAGCCTCAGTTAAGCAGTACAAGCATTCTGCTGCTTCCCTGGGGGAAGAGCCCTGCACATCAGAGCGCAGGCCCCTCGGTTTTCTTTGGGAGGAGAGCTCTGCCTTCCCCTGCCCAGACTCCCTACTTTTGGTGTATGATAATGAAAGGTTGTTGCTGAGCCGTGAAAAATGCCGGGATTCATTTTTGGTCTTGGATTCAAAAATAGCCTCTGGAGGAGAGGAATTCAATCCAGGGCCAGTGGCGAAGCTTGATCACTCAGAGCTTTTGTATATTAAAGTTTTATTAAAGTATAAAAGAGAGAGCTTCTGACATAGACATCAGAAGGGGGCAGAAAGAGTGTCCTCCTGCTAGTGTTTAACAGGAAGCTATATACCTACTCGCAGGCTGCTAATTAGAGAAAGGAAATGTCTCGTAACTCAGAGAATGGCACCAGGCCCCTCACCCACAACATGCATTTTGAGATAGCATTGGCACAAGGTGAGTCATCCCGGGCCATAAAATGTTTGAGATGAATCTTGAAGAGGCAGGTTTCCAAGCAAATACATGGTCTCATTAACATAGATTAGGAGAACAATTGTATGAGTAAAACATATTGCTTTTTTGAGCCATTATCATTTCTGAGTCTTAGTCTTAGGCGGAACCAACTTGAGGAAAGACAGAGTTTAAGGTAAATACATTGTTCATTAACATAGCTTAAGAAAAACATTTCCATAGAAAAAAAAAAAAAACGCACTAGTTAGCTCAAAGTTTGAGAAAAGTTAAGTTCAGGTGGAACAAGGTGTTGTCGTGGCAACACAGAATTTTGAAAGAAACCTCCTTTTAATTTTGTATAAAGAAGGGAAAAAAAAATCTGACACTTGTAGTTTGTTTATTCCTGCCACTTAAGAGAGATTAAAAAATGTCTGACACTTCCAGCTTATTCCTCCGTTCGGGGCCCCTAGTCTTCCTGCCTGTTACCCTCTCAATAGGAATTTATTACAGCGCAGGTATATGAGGTAGCCCAGGGGACACTGCCTCTCAGGAATGTTTCTGAGGGTTCAGGAAGATCTTCTTTAAAGTACAAAATTTTCTTTCTTTAAAAAAAATCTTTGGACCTAGCCATGAAAATTATCATAGATTTATCAGAACAGGTACTTGGCTAAATTAGCTTGCCACTAAAAGAAGGAAATGGCAACCCACTCCAGTACTCTTGCCTGGAGAATTCCACGGACGGAGGAGCCTGGTAGGCTACAGTCCATGGGGTTGCAAAGAGTCGGACACAACAGAGCGACTTCACTTTCAAAATAACTCAAGCCATAGGCAAGTAAGAATTTAATAAAGATGGAAATTTGACTCATACTATTAGCACTTAAGTAGCAGATTGCTATTCTTACTCTTCTCTCCAGTCCCAGAAAACTCCCTGTTTTGGGCTGTCTTTGTTTCCAATTAGTCCTGCCTTTACCTGTCTCTTAGATCATACTCCATTTATTCATTCATCAGCAAAGATCTACTGAATGTCTGCCATGTGCCTGGCATGTTCCATGCAGGCACCAGGGCGGTACTGGGGTTTAAGGAGGACGAGATCCTTGGCCCTGTGTAGCTTTCCTTCCAGGAGAAGAAGACAGACTAAGTAACCAACAAGGAGCGAACAGTGTGGTGGAGAGTGGTGGGTGAGCCTTGCTGGGGCGAATTCCCATTGGTTGGTCAGGGAAGGTCTTTGAATCCTTGTGGATGAGAGGAGGCGCTCACCCTGCTCAGATCTGCACAGAGGGTTCCAGCCCTGGGATAACTGGCAAGTGGGGATGGGAAGGGGCTAGTTCAGGGGGTGGGCAGGCCTAGATGGTGAAGAGTGTGTTGGCCATGGGAGTGAATTTGGATTTTATTCTGAGTGGAATGGGGAGACTTTGGAGGGCACTGCTGTTGTCTGCTTGTTTGTTTAATGTGGCAAGATGTGGTTATATTACAAATGTTCAGTCTTGTTTCTTGTGGTGCTTTATTTAGGGGCAAGAGCAAAGCAAGGAGACTTTCATACTGACTGAGGGGAGAAAAGAGGTCTTGGCTGAGGGTGATGGAGCCTGAGATGTAGGCATACGGTGGATTTTGGAGACATTTTGGATATAGATTTAACAGGACTTGCCGATTTAGGCGAAAGGGGTGAGGGAATGGCAGGAAACGAGGGTGTTCAGGTTTCTAGCTTCAACAGCTGGGTGGGTGGTACTGAGATGGAAAGGCTAGAGGAAAAGTTGGTTTGGGAAAGGATAAAGTCACAGAAATGCATGAAATTCCTGAGCAAGAAAGAAGAGTGATAAGCTGTCAAAACCTTGAACTAATCTTGACTTTTTAGTACAGGGCATGAAAGAAAAGAGGGTAAAACATTTGGGGGAAATTGTAAATTTTTTTAAGGAAGGCAAGGGAGAAGAAAAAAGAAGAATAAATAGAGCATTGGAGACTCTCATGAAGGGACAGAAGGCAGGCTGCAGTGTGACTGACTTCCACCAGTCAGACTGGGTACATACAGTGACTTGAGTTCCATACAGATATGACTGTATTGGCATCTGCTCTCAGTTGTATCCCCAGATCCTCTTATAGTGTCTGGTTAATTGTAGTTGTACAAGTATTTGTGAAATGAATAAATTAATGAGTAGATGGTAAGAAAGTATTGAAATTAAGCAAAAATAGATCATTTTAGTAAATTTGGCAATAAAGAAATGGGGCAAAGGATGTTAACTGCAGGCATGTGAGGTTTTTGTTTTCATTTTTATTTTAAATTTAATGGATGTGTGTATGTATGTAAATAACTTGTAGAGAATATAGACGTAGGTGCAGGAGCAAAAAGGAATGAGATGAAGTATGCATACCAGTGGTGTGCTGATAAATGCTTAATCATTGGCTGTCCAAAGAAAGTAAATCCCTACTTGTTGTGTTTACAAATTTCCATGTAACTCCTACCTTGGCTGATTTCAAGCTACAAACGTGACATAGCTGAAACTGGAGTTAGGAGAGGTGTGCCATAGCCCGCCATCTTGAAGCATTTCCACTGTCCAATAGACTGTAGATGTAAATAATCTCAAGAGCATAGACAGAAGTAAAATGAAGGAAACTGATTAGGAAATGATATGATTTGTGTACTTATTACCTTTATTTTTAGCTTGATTTATTTAAGCTTATATAATTCACTTTATTATAAAAGATATAATATTATAATTGATATAAATATAGACTATATGTACATATAATTTATTGTAAGTTATATAATTTAATTTTAAATAATGGCTGTCTTTAATAACTGGCCTGCAAAATTCCTGAAAATTTAATAGTCATTTCTCATAGGACAGTATGAGCTCTAGTACTCCAGTGAAGACCGTCCTTCAGGAGGGGAAGAAAGCGTTACATCTGTTATCTATCACTGTGTACCAGGAAGCGGGCTTGCACTGCCCACGTGTTATTCCATGCAGCCATCACAACATTTGTTTAGGGTAAATCTTAGAGTTTGCTTATCAGGTGGAAATGGAAGATCTTAGAGAGGTTAAGTGGTCGTTTAACACATTTACATCGTGGGTAAGTGGTAAGGTCGGGATTGGAATTCCAGCTGCACAGCCACGAATCCCGTGCTTGCCTGTTTGCTGTGCTCTGAAGTCTAGAATCCCAGGTGAGAACTTGGCTTTGGGGAGGAGGCAGGACAGCGGTGTCATGCTCTGTGCAGCTGGCCTCCCTGCTCAGCTCTCAGGGATAGAAGATTCTTGCAGCCATCCGTGGGTCCACAAATAAGGCCTCTCCTGATTGGCTTTAATATAGACTGTTGGTGCTTATACATTGAATTAGGTGCTATGCTTTTTAAAAAAGTTTTTTTAAACTCTGAGCCTCAGCCTATTTAGAAAGAATGTTGCTTGGAGAGCAGTGCACAATACAAGTGGAACTGGGTCAGGATCTTACTAAGTGAACATGTTTGTGAGCAAGAAGGACCATTATCCTTCCTTGAGAGGAAACTTGTCATATATTTTCCTTCTCAGGAAAGGAAAGGTATCATGTATTTGACTACAAATTTGATTAGTGTCAAAATTAGTTTTAAAAGCTATGCTTGCCCTTTTTTCAGAAGGTGATCAGGTAAAGAAAATAAAAGCTCAAAGAGGCAATGTTATCTTAGTTCTGAAGATATCTGCGGACAGTGTTTAAATCAGGAATCCTTCACTTACCAGGTCCTGGACAAGTTCTTTTATCTCTGTGAACATCAGTTTTCTCATCTCCCAAAAAGGGGAACTAATTGTAACATCTTACTCTCAGATTGCTTGTCAGGACTCAGAGCTACAGTAAAAGCAGGTAATAAGTCTGTAAACAAGTGCCTGGCACACAGTGGCCATTTGGTGTGGCAGCCAGCAGCATCATTAGTAGTAGTTCAGAATTATAAATATTATTATTCCTTATGACTTTATAAACACTGGAATGTGACTTTCTAAACACTGAAACTGGTGAACCTGCAGTATACAGGCAAGGAATGTGTTTTTATGGAATTTTTTTTTTCTTGCTAGTATGTATTTGCGTTGCATGGATGGCATTAGGCTGTCAGAAATTAGTCTGCATACTATCAGATAAAATGTATTCAGAAGTTACCAAACACAGGGGGACCATCCCAACCCAGGGAAAAACCAAACTGGAAGTCAATTTATTTAGTTGCCTGTTTTTCTGCATGGCTTAGTGATTGTCTTATAGGTAGCAAGTGGCAAGTGCAGTGAACCTAGGACT